AGGAACTCATTAATTATTATACAAAATGGGTGACCCTGGAGGACATTATGTTGAGTGAAATATCTCAGTCACAAAAAGATAAATACTGCATAATGTCACTGTTGTAATGCGGGACTGACATCGGGGTTCAGGGAAAACTAAGAAAAGAGGGGATAAAGTATTCTGCATTGAAACAGATGAGGGAGAGAACTGTTTAAAAGGGATATATGATTAGGTAGAATTTTCATGACAAGAGTCTAGAATGAAAGTGGAGTGGAATGAAGTGGAGTGGATTTGGGGGGAGATTGTGTAACAATCTTTATTGTATAACAGTTTTTACTTTTCAAAGAGAAAAGTGAACTGAGGAGGGGAGGGTTGGGCAGGGAGGAAAGTGCAATAATGAATGAATGGAAATCCAAAGTCTCTGTAAACTTTCATTAAAATTAATTTTAAAAAAATGGAAGGACTGAGAAGACCAGCAATCCTGAAATACCAAGGATCCTAAAATCCAAAACTGCATATTTTAAAATCAGGGAAGGAGTATGCTGGAGTCATAGCCATTCTCTACACTCATTCAGTCTGTGTGCTGAGCAAATCATTCCAGAAGCTAGATTATATAAAGAGGCATTGCGGCATCAATTTTGGAGGAAGATTCATCAACAATCTGCACCATGCAGATGACACAACCTTGCTTGTAGAAAGTGAAGAAGACTTGAAGTACTTGTTGCAGATCAAACACTAAAGCCTTTAACATGCATTACATCTGAGTATCAACAAAACAAAAGTCCTCACCAATCCAAGATCCTACATCATCGTTCTTGTTGTTGTTAGGCATCGTCGAGTAAAGTATGACTTACAGTAACCCTATGAACAACAGATTTGAACCCTGTTTCTATTATGATAGATGAAGAAAAAACTGAAGCTGTGAATTATTTCATTTTACTTGAATCTACCATCAATACCCATGGTGGTAGCAATCAAGATGTTAAGAGATGTGTTGCACTGGAAATGTCTGCTGTCAGGGAGCTCTTTAAAGTGTTAAAGAGCAAGGATTTACTTTAAAGACTAAGGTCCTGATGCAAGCCAAAGTCTTTTCAGTTGTTTCCTCTGCATCTGAAAGCTGGACACTGAATATGGAAGACTGAGGAAGAATAGATGCCTTTGAATTGTGGAGAAAGATAGAATACTAAATATTTCAAGAACTAGGAAAAAACCCCCAACACCCAAACATCGTCTTGGAGGAACTGCAACCGGGGTGCTCCTTACAAGCAAGGATGGTGAAACCTTGTCTCATTACTTTGGGCATGTTGTCAGGAGGGACCTGTCCTTAGCAAAGGATATCATGCTTGGAAAGGTAGAGGGTCAGGGGAAGACATTCAAAAAGGTGAACTGACACAGTGACTGTAACAATGGGCTCACGCGTGTCAGAGGTGGTGAGGATGGTGCCGAATAGGGCAGGGTTCAGATCTGTTGATCACAGGGTCGCTAAGAGCTGTAGTCAATAGTACATGACAACAACGAGAGGGAAAGACGGAATTCTCTTTCTACAGAAGATGAGATAATAAAACCATAGTCACGTGAAGAAGAGTTCAAGCGATATATAGCCAAAATAGTAATGAGAAATGTGTTGGCCTGATGTCAAGCAGACGAATTATAAAAGTGTTGGGGGTTTTCCCCCTGCATTTTGGTAGTCTTGTCAGTTTTTTACAGCCTTGTAATTTACTGTCATCTCTTTTCCATTTTATAGAAATATTCGATTTTATGCCTTAAAAAAAAAAGAAAGCATTTTAAAGAATTGCCGCTATATTTAGTGACTAGATGGAAAAAGTTAATTCTCTGTTCTCTTCTCAACAGACAAGAGACGACTTTCTGGGACAAGTGGACGTGCCATTGAGTCACCTCCCGGTAAGAATGGGGACCACAAGGACCAAATTCTGATTGTCTACACTGGGTATGGTTTTTAAAATGCTCTTCCTTCAACAGAATGGAGAGGGCGGCAATGAGGAGAGTGTAATCTGTCTGTAGTTCCTGCAGACCCTTCGTAGAGGTGTGTTATTGTTATTGACGTTGTTGTATGCAGTCGAGTTAGTAACAACCCATAGCTGACCCTCTGGCAAGCTTTCAGAGATAAGTTGCAGGGGAGGATTTCTCCTCCTTCTCCCGAGGAGCAGCTGGTAGACCCAAACCACTTGCTTCATGGGTTCGCAGCACAGCTCCTTACTATTAGGCCCCCAGAGGTCCTTTCCCAAGGGTAAGGGCTGGTGCAGTGGTGAAAGGGCAAGTTCACTGTGTCTGAATCGGCTCAGGCTTTGAGGCACCAGCACCTGTCCCTTCTACTGTCTACCTTTATATGTCACACCTTACAAAGCAGGCTCCTGTGCTGGCAGCCCCCCTTCTCACCACTGTCGTGCTTCTGATTCCAGATCCTTCCTCTGAGTCTTAGCAGACCTTTGTTCCCTGACTCTAGACTTGTGCATATGTTCTCTTAGGAGATGACGACATACAATATGCTAGAGTTGAGGTTGTGACTGTCTCTGTCAAACACAAAAATAAAAAAATGCTTTTTATTCTTAGTGAACCTGTCAACTGGAAGAAGTCACTATCTTCTGAAAATGCCCTGGATTAGCCTGTGTGGGATTACTGCCCTCTTTCTTTTCAAAATTAGCAGTTAAATAGGTGGGTAACAGAGGGTCCAGGTGCTGCTGAAAGTGCCATAGGAGATTTCGATAGAAGGTGTGCAGGACAGCCGGGGCTATGCTGAAAGGCAGGTCATCTTCTCATCCAGGTCCAGTTCACCTTGTCCTCCTCCTGGTCTTTCTGCCTTGAGCAACACCAAGTATCACAGGTCTGGTGGCTGTTAAGAAACAAATACTCCATGATTCTTTCTTTCTTTTTTTTTT